ACTTTTGGTAGAGTGTAGTCCATCCTACCTGGTTTGGGTATAAATACTACTGTTACTTCTCTCCACTTACTGGGAATATACCTCAGAGCTAGAGAGGCTACGAATATTCCAACCAGGTGCGGCATAAGAGTGTCCAGTACCCACTGAAGTAGGGCTGGTCTTATACCGTCAGGTCCTGGTGACTTGAAGAGGGAAAAGCACGATATAGCCCGTCTTATTTCGTCCTCATCAATTACTGCACTAGCAAATAGCCAGTCGTATTGTGAGGATGTTGTTGGTACATCCGCCCAGTTCGTCGTTCCAGGAAAGACAGAACCTGGGAAGTGAGTTTCCATAAGAATCTCAGCACTCTCCTGGAGGTTGGCGGCTTGTCGCCATTTTCCCTCGTCAGAATGCCGATATGTTGGTTGTGCCATCTGTTTAAACCATCCTCATCGGACAGGTTTCCTTGTAGGCAATGTCTATTTTGTTGTGGATAGATACCGTGTACCTTTCCAGTTCATCATTGTTGCCAGGAGTCAGGACCTCTGTTTCCCGCAGAGCTCCTCTTGAGAGTCGATTGTAGAGAGCTACATCCGTCCTCTTCGGGTCACAGGATTTTACAGTGGTTCTGAGATCCTGGTTCACCGAATGGGTCAGCCAGCGGTGGTCTGACATTGAGATATGGTCCGAGATTTGCCAGTCTTCTGTTAGATCTTTCTTGATTATATATCTATATAGGCACTCACCTCGAGCGATGATATCCTTGCTGCCCCAGCTGAAGTGGTGAGAGTTTGAGTCGCAACCCAATATGAGATGCCTCTCTGGTTGAGGCAGTGATCCACTAGTACCTCCATTTCTCTGGTCAGTGGTAGGGTGGCTGCATCTGAAGGGAGGTACACCGATGCGAGTGTCAACGTCATATATTTGCCTTTTCCAACTGGACATTCAACTTTAACCGCAGTGAGGTCTTAGGTGCTGAATTGTGCCATCGGGAAGGTTCTGCATTTCCTAGGAACGCAGATAGCCGTCCTAGGTTGCTGATTACTGAAACCAGTAATTTTGGTCTTTATTATCCACGGCTCCTAGATCAACGCTATTGCCTCTTCCAATACATCAAGGTGGCGACATAATGTTGCTGTTGCCGCCTTTTTTTGTTGGAGGTTGCATTGTATGATTTTTATCTTTTTTTCAACGTCCTTGCCCATGAGACAGTTGTTGGATTCAAGTTACCTTTAGAGGTTCATCTGCTCCCCTACTAGGGGGAAGGTGGCCTCGCTGTTTTTGGGTGCCTCCCCCGTCAGGTCATCGACTGTCATCTGTTCAATTGCTTCGACTTCCATTTCGGAATCCATGGTGGCCTTGGGGTCAATATCCACTTTGGGTGGCTCCAGTTCCAAGGACCTAGAGTCTCCAGAGGTGCCCTCTGTTTCTTTTTTTGTTACCCTAATAGTCAGTGAGATAAACGTGTAGCTTAACCTCATCGACTTCTTCTTTAGGACAGCCATATAATTCGAAGACGATCCCGAAGACGAAGAGGTGCCCTTATGGGTTCATCTTAGCCTCATGATGGAAAGTGCACCATCTTGCTACCGTCAGGTCAGGGTTCTGCGCCTTCAGCTGACCCAGCACCCTCTTTTTTTCACCGGATGTCGTCTTATGGACGTCCTTCGGGATCCAGAGTGAGGCTTTGGTAAGCTTTGGGAGCTTATCCACACAGACGACCACAAGTGATGCCTCCTCCTACGACTTAATGTTCATTATGGCTTTCATCAGCCACTCTTGCGTCACGTCGTCGTCGCAGACCACTCTGATGATTTCACCAGAGTATGTCCACGACTTGAACGTGGGCGGTTTGTTGTTGTTGCCAAAGGCGGAGTAGATGATCTTGTCCAGCTCCTCCAACAGTTGTTTTTCGATGGGGTTTTAAAAGGTGCAGCGGCATTACAGTCGCTGCGCAGCTTCTTTAACCTTCTTGGGGCCACATTGGCTTCCCGGACCGGGCCTCCAGTCCCCTGGCCGTTTCCCTATCCGCCACATGGGGACGCGCCCGATAGTTAGCCCAACCCACGGGCCGCAAGGGTGTATTGTGGCTCACACCTATTCACACTTGACCAAATAAACCCAGCTTCTTAACGAAACCGCTTAGTTTGTATGGTGAATAGTCTTTCAGGTGGTAAGAGTAAGGCTCTGTCAAACTCTAAAAACCTGATTCGGTCCCCAGCGGGGAAAGCACCAAGTATGTGCTCTGCTGTTTCATAATTTTCCAAACAGAGGCGAAATACACTGTCTTCCGACAGTCCGAGTCTCTGCATATGATGATTTGAATGACAGTGACCTATGAGAAGGCATGTTATAGTCATCGTAGTCCATCCCTACTGTAGTCCAACAACTGTTTGGTATCAATCTTCGAAGGGTGAATAAACGCCTTGGAGTGAGCCAATCCTGGAGGATTTTGCCAGACAGGTTCTGGTCCGATAAAGCTGCTTGCAGCATTCTCTTTTGCAAGGGAGTCAGCAGTCTCATTGCCTTCCAGGCCAGTATAGCTAGGAACCCAGACCAGAGACAATCTGTTGAGTGTTGCTACCGAGGAGAGTCGTTTTTGGCAATTTGCTACCATTTTAGAAGTTGCTCGGTAGGAGCCAAGAGCTCTCAACGCCGCTTGACTGTCCGAAAATATTTTTATTGACTTATGTATGGAGCTGGATTCTTTCAATCTCCAATTCCAATGTTTCGCTAGAAATACAGTCGCAGGTTGATATATCTGTCCTGGGTCTACGACTGAAAACACCTGCACCAGAACAGGAAGGTATTTTTGATCCATATGTGAACCAACAACTATCTGCTCTTAATATTTGCTTCTCCTGGAGAATCCAGTCCTCTCTACTTGGGAACGATACTTTATAAGGAGGTTCGTAGTTGACAGTTGAAGGCATAAAGTCAGAAGTCATTTCCAGAATGCTGTGACTTCCAGTGTCAATCAACAGTATGTTGCACTCTGCATTACATTGATGTGTGCATTTGGCAATGTGCACAAGTCATTATGCAGTCCATCTAGCCTCTCTCTCCAGAAAAATGTGGAGAGGGGGTAGATCTAGAAGGATCTCCATGGCCGCTGATGGTATTGTACTGATGGCACCACTGATGGTCAGACAAGCTTGTCTCTGTAATCCAGAGAGCTTCGCCTGGGCCGTTTTCTGTAAACCCTTCGGCCACCAGGCAATTGCACCATAAGTGATCATTGATCTGACAATCATCACATGAATCCAATGGATTTGGTTAGGATCCAAACCCCAAGTTTTACAATAAATCGTTCGACATGTCCTTAGAGACAGTTTGACTTTGTGTGTCTGGAGTTGACAGACATCTGCTCTCTCAGAGACCAACTGTGAACAACGTCCAACGTAGTTTGCTGGTAAGTGTGGTATGATGACTGCTACCTAGGAGCTCCCAAATTATTTTTTAGTTTTTAGTACATTATCTACATCATTATTATTTTTTTTAAAATAATCGTTTAATANTCTCCGTATTGATAATATTACCCCTGATGAAGTTCCCATATTTCTTTGAAAAGAATTGTTAGCATTATGATTGACCCTTTAACATTATTGGTGAATCTCTCTATCGAAACTGGTAAATTTCCTTCTGATCTCAAAATCGGGAAACTTATATCTGTTATATATAAAAAATGCCCTGAAAATTTATAAAATCATAGGCCTATAACAATATCCAGCAGCTTCTCAGAAGTTTTCGAATATTGTTACTTAGAAAGACTTATTGTCTTTTTGAATAATTTCAACATTTTAACTCGCAGCCAGCACACTTTTCGAAGATAAAAATCAACAACTACTATTAATCACTTTTGCAACGATCTACTAGACCACATCGACCGAAGTGAAATTCCTTATGATATTTTCTATGACCTGAGTCAAGTTTTCTACTTTGTTGATCATGATATCCTTATATCGAAGCTATACAACTATGATATTAGAGGTGTTTGTCTCAGTTGGATTGAGTGTTTCATTGAAAATCGATCACAGTTTGTCAGTTTGAAATACTTCTTCAACAACTCACTTCAGGACATCAAATCTTCTGAAGCTCAAATTGATATGGGTGTCCCTCCGGGTTCTGTCTTTGGCCCGGTTCTATTCATGTTATACATTGATGAAATTACGAAATAGTATAGCATGAACTGTTTACGCTTGAGGAAGCTATTGTAGGTATAGCGAAACACATGTCGTGGTTTTCGTAAAACCCTTTTTAGTGAAAATCATATTATAAACTGTATTAAGTAGTTTCAATATCATTGTTGTTTATTTATTTTGTTTTAAATATCATTGTATTGCTTGATTTTCATTCGATAGTTTGCAAAACCGCGACACGTGTTTCACTGTACAATATCTACTCACACCTCTATACGTATAAAGAAGTTATCACATGACAAAACGTGTGTTACGGTTTTGTAAAATGGTGAGTGAAATTTTCGCGTTGAAGTGTTATCTCAACGCGTTATCATCGATTTTTATCTGGTATCGACCAACTCAATCGTATATCATTATAACCACAAATCAGAAATTATACAAATTGATTCCTTTGACACAATGTTGATGAAATGGAACATAATCAAAACACTTTATGATCATCAAGACATACTAACTACACTGTGGAAAATTTGTCAAGTTAGATTGAGTCGATCAAAATTATTTTACATTTCATGTAGTTGGAGATATTTCAGCAGAAATATTTGCAATCTGACTAAATACGAAAGTAGAATTGCTATCATACGAATGCTATGACTGAATATATCAAGTTGTGGAAATTCATAAAGATGTGATACTTCATCATGCAGAAAATAAACTAAAAATGTCCAGGTTTGAAATAATACAAAACAAAATTCTTTAATTCCTTTATTGAAACCTAATCGATATGATGAAAAATAAGAAATAAAACTTTCTATATTTTTTACAACTTTTATTCGTAACCAATTCGTTACTGCAGTTTCGTCCTATAAGGACANAACTGCATTTTCATAATATTCCAGGAAGGTTCTAAACGATAATATGACCACTCAAAATAATTCAGGACCGTTACAGACCACTCAACCGTCCTTGTCTGAAGTATTGCACAGTAAATCTATAACTTTACCTAGTTTGAACACTCTTACTGAATCTCCAAATTGATACTCTTCACCAGTGAATCACAGACGTTCTATACTGTCATATTTTCGTTGATCTGCGGTCAACTTCTGATCTCAATCAATCACTTGAAAATTTCATCAATAAGTCTAATGATTGCATTGTTTTGTAGGAACTCATTATCCTTGTTTCATATTATAAATAGTGAATGACCCATCTCACTATTGGATGGAATCATCATTGTCAAGTAATTCTCAACATGATGAAAATATTCATGTGGGTTTCCTAAAAACTACTTATCATCCATGTCTTATCTATGTTTCATATTTACGCGTTGACGACTGCAAAGACATGATTTACGTGGTTGATAAAAAATAGATCTCGCCGTTGTATATCTACCAGTCACTATTCGACTACCTGATACTCCTTGTGAATAAATCGCAAAAATATGAAGCCAAGGAGTAACAACGATGAGCCTAATAGATCTCCCAGTGCCGTGAGGTATGGAATGGCTGCATTGTCGGGATCTATTCTCAACTTCCACAAAGTATGAATCATCACATGGCAGATATACAACAATAAGACAAGTTGGATAAGCCCTACAAGTAAGTAAGTCAGTGCAAAAGGATAATTCACAGTCGACTCTTTGTTTCGAATAAAATCGGCGACAAACAGGAAAACTGTATGTCCAGGAATGGAAATCATCAACAGCAGCCTCGCTGTTCTGGCTGGGAGTACTGAAACAAAAAAATCATCATTTCGAATATATTTATATTTCGTTTGAGACTGTGGAAACAAGTCTGAAATCGGACTGAATAATGTTTTATCTTCATTTTCATGAAGAAAAAATTTTGCAGAAACTTTCAGCAACTCGGTAGTTACTATTGAGTGAGTGAAGATTTTTCTAAAAATCGATAAACTTTTCTTCTGTATTTTCATTTTTACTTAGATCAAAATAGTCAATAGATTCGAATTTTTTCAAATGACAAAACACAAACACTACAGGAAAATCCTCAAGGCGCTCCAAGAGTGGTACCTGTGCGAAAGTAGCGATTCACATTAGATTTGAATTGCTGGCGATTTAGTCCATTTGGAAGAACGTTATCAGGAAGTGTATTCCACATAAACGCAGTTCTCCAAATGGAAGAGTTCTTAATGGAGTTCGAGTTGTACTGAGTTGAACCTCAAAACGATGAGCAGCCACAGTCCATCGCGTATTTTTGATATGTACTGCTCTTCGTTGAATCAAATCTGCCAAGTCACTTGATCACTTTCCGTGAAAGTATCTATAGAATAGAGACAAATAAGCAACCTTTCTTCGATATTCCAGACTACCAAGGTTGCAAGTGATGTTCGCGTCTCCAATCAGGTGGACGACTGTCTCATGGATAGAATTCAGCAACTTCAGGGTATGCTTAGAGCGGATCTATATACATGAGAACATTACTCCAAAGAAGATCTGACCTGAGCTTAATAAACCATCAAAAGTTGCTGAGGTGTCTACAGTTTTCTGGTTCGAAATAGTGTTCCAAGCTTCCGAGAAGCAGCCTTTGCAATTCCAGGGACATGATTGTGCCAAGACATATTGGTGTCCATTTCAACCGTCAACAAACTTATCGAATTAGAAAGCGGAATGTCTGTCATGACATTGTTATATCCGGTTCGGAGATATTTATCTTCTTGGCGAAACTGATGCCTGGGTTTTTGTGGAATTGAATTGAACCTGGTTAATTTCACCCCAATTCGAAATCACTACTAGATCGTCATCAAGATGTGCAACTTCCTGCTGCCGGTGAAGATGTGCACCTGCAGCCGATGTCTTGGAATCCAAATGAAATGACGGGACAAGTGTGCTGTTGTCAGCGAAGCAATATATTGGATATTGAAATCAACCCTTATTAAACCAATACATTTGTAGGAAGGAATGGAAACATTTTTACAATTTCAATTATCACTTGGTGATGTTAAGTTGATTAGCGAAACACGCGTCTAGAAGGTATTTAGATTCTGTCATTTCTGTCATTTCTATCTGTCAAATGAAACGGAACGCAACATGAGAAATACTGAAATACTTACCTCCACTGATCAAAGCAGTCCACGGTGCTACAAATTGTTTCGTATGAGGTGGAATGATTCCAATGAAAGAAGTTTTATGTAACATCGTCGAAGTACGACTTGCTTGGACTGACACTAAATTTCCACCAATTCCATTAATGATAGGTTGAAACATTGTATAGCCCTTGAATTCTTCCACTGCCAAATCCAGGATTAACCCCCCAGACCTGAAAAAAATTAACACAACTGAAAACAAAATTTAAAACTGAGGAATGATGAAGCTATTGAAAACTTTCGCAACACCAGAACAAAAATAGATTCATTTTACGTCAGAAGTTCCAGTATGACCTATCAAGTTAGGAATGAAGTTCAAATGACATTATGGAATTGTGAAAGTACAGAGAGTCATTTCATTTTTTAAACTACAAAAAATTGAACACTGGAATGAACAATAAACTGAAAATCCAATGAACATAAAGAAAAATTCAAATAGTTAATTGTTTATCTGAAAAATTATTTATGCTAGCACAATGATGCACACTTGAGGATGATATATACGTAAAAGTACAATGGTACCAGAAACAAACAAAAAAATAAACGAAAGATTCATGATCATTATTATCAGTTTGTGATTTATAAAACATGAGACACCCTGTAGTCAATAGAAGAGAATCATTATCTATATATGGCATATACTGTTTTGAATTTTCTCCTAAACCAATGTTCCTCATTGTGTATGATCTCAGCTTGGGATCACTCGATGTAATGTTGATGGGTCCAAACATGCCCATAAACATGTTTTTTTCATTATTATTACTCAGTAATAGAATGTATGACCTTCAAAATAGCGGACAACTTGTTTTGGAAAAAAATTATTCTCTTCATTCGTAAAAAAAAAAAAAAAAATCGAAATGCAAGAACAAATTCCAGAAATTGAAAATATGGCCCTCAATACAGATATAAAAAATCAATTAAAACCCTATACCATTCAATTATACAAAAATCTGATGAAAGTCCCAGCTCATATTGCACTCGCCTCAGTTACCACCTTGATGTCGCGACTTCATCGACGGGACCGTTTATATCCGTCAGGGCGTTTCTGTTTTCAGACCGGTAGATACAGTATCGGGCAATATCCCTCAATAAATAAGTAGGCAACGAAAGAATACATCAAATATTCAAAATCATAAGTGAATTGAAAAGTATAAAAATGATTTTCAAATTTAACTGAGTAGAACGCAGACAGTACAAATCTGATACCTACTTGAGATTAGACGACAAGGTGGATTTCGCGTTTTGAAAGGCTTAATTGATAAGTGAAATCAGTTTAAAAAAAATCAACGTTTTTGATGAATCGATTTCTCAAAATCGATTGATTAGGTATTTCGAGGTTTGAAAGATAACGAAAAAATATGTTTAAAACAATGAATATATCCATAGCTTGTGAGAACTTTCGTAATAGTACTTTTGCCAGATATATTGGGAAGGTCTTGATGAGTACAATTCGGGCCACTTCAAAAGTATAATTTCCCAAGAAAACAAACGGGCTCTACAGGTTTTTGGGCCCTATTTGCAGTCAGTCAAGTTGGGTTTTCCTTCTCAGATTTTTCTGCTATACCTTGATTTTTCATAAATTAACTGATTCAAAAATACCGTTATATTATACCTATTATTCAGTATTACTTAATTCGTTCATGCACAAACTCTGTGCCTTATCTCGTTCTGAATAGTTTGTAAACGTAGGCAACTTGCACACTACTGTTACATAGAAGTCTTCATGAAAGAGTCCGTCACAGACACCAAAATACCTTTTTGTAGATATTTGTTAATTCACAAATACCTTTCACTATATTTTTGAGAAGCAGTGAATTAAGCGAGGCGAAAACGCCATCTATTGGGTCGACAAGCTTCTACATCGACCGTTAGAAGGGATACGCCCTCTGTCTGTCACAGCAGTTTTTCCTGCAACGCATCTGATTGACACAAAATCATTCGTGATCTAACACCAGACAGAACTGTTTCGGCCCTAAGATTCATCAGGCTGGTGACTTTGTAAGGTAAGTCACCGCATTTACATTCTCGGGTTTGTTCTTTGGAGACAGTTCAGTCCAACAATGCATCAGTGGTTCAATCTTGCAGTACTGATGACAACTATGACGGATCGAAACAGCACAGTTTGATGTAAAATTACGAATGATTAAATTTTGGGTTCTTGTTTCAATTTCGATTGGAGATAAATTATTTATAAACTTTATATCACACCATTCAACATGATATCAATATTTTAGGAAGTAACTGAAAAAAACATCTTTTATTGAATTATAAGATATTGAAGTCATAGTATGCCCAGTATGGCGTAACAATAAAGAGGCAGGAGTTAGCTGAGAGTTAAAGAATTTTACTGAGAAGAAATCTAGAAATGTTGAAATTCGTGTAGTGTCATTTATGGAAGCCCTTATATATCAGTAGTTTATATTTGTTTCTTAAGTGCACTCAGGACTGGTGGTTTCATCAGAATCATCTCACAGTGCAACTAAAATTTCATTTCATTTCTATTACTTGAATTACATGCACAATCGCCCATCACAGTGCTCAATTAGTGAGATNATAGGCCTATAACAATATCCAGCAGCTTCTCAGAAGTTTTCGAATATTGTTACTTAGAAAGACTTATTGTCTTTTTGAATAATTTCAACATTTTAACTCGCAGCCAGCACACTTTTCGAAGATAAAAATCAACAACTACTATTAATCACTTTTGCAACGATCTACTAGACCACATCGACCGAAGTGAAATTCCTTATGATATTTTCTATGACCTGAGTCAAGTTTTCTACTTTGTTGATCATGATATCCTTATATCGAAGCTATACAACTATGATATTAGAGGTGTTTGTCTCAGTTGGATTGAGTGTTTCATTGAAAATCGATCACAGTATAGCATGAACTGTTTACGTTTGAGAAAGCTATTGTAGGTATAGCGAAACACGTGTCGTGGTTTTTGTAAAACCCTTTATAGTGAAAATCATATTATAAACTGTATTAAGTAGTTTCAATATTATTGTTGTTTATTGATTTTGTTTTAAATACCACTTTATTGCTTGATTTTCATTCGACAGTTTGCAAAACCGCGACACGTGTTTCACTGTACAATATCTACTCACACCTTCTACTACACGTATGAAGAAGTTATCACATGATTTTTTGTAAAATGGTGAGTGAAATTTTCGCGTTGAAGTGTTATCTCAACGCGTTATCATCGATTTTTATCTGGTATCGACCAACTCAATCGCATATCATTATAACCACAAATCAGAAATGATACAAATTGATTTCTTTGACACAATGTTAATGAAATGGAACATAATCAAATATCACTTTATCATCATCAAGACATACCTACTAACTACACTGTGAAAAATTTCTCAAGTTAGACTGAGTCGATCAAAATAATTTAACATTTCATGTAGTTGGAGATATTTCAGCAGAAATATTTGCAATCTGACTAAATACGAAAGTAGAATTGCTATCATACGAATGCTATGACTGAATATATCAAGTTGTGGAAATTCATAAAGATGTGATACTTCATCATGCAGAAAATAAACTAAAAATGTCCAGGTTTGAAATAATACAAAACAAAATTCTTTTATTGAAACCTAATCGATATGATGAAAAATAAGAAATAAAACTTTCTATATTTTTTACAACTTTTATTCGTAACCAATTCGTTACTGCAGTTTCGTCCTATAAGGACATTTTCAAACATTTACAATAAACGGATAATAAATCTTAATGTAACCCTTTATATATCTACTGTAGGTAGGTAATTGAGTACCTGGAATTTGTTTACCTGGGACAATGTGGACATGTTCATTTGAAAACAGGTTAGTAAACTAGATCGATTTGATCATTTACCAGATTACATCAGCTATGTTTATGCTTTTGAATTTCAAAGGATTTCAAATTATTGAGTTTCCAACCTTTGCTTGCATAGTGCGAAATTTCCGTATCGTTCAGATTCGGGAACTTGTGGTTGCATCCCAAGGAATGGTTTGAAAACGTCGAATCATTTTTACCTAGTCTGAAGGTTCTTTTCAGCATACCGTTTTAGGAAATTTTGACCACATTGTCTCACATAAATACTATTACACTCCGGACATTCAACCTCATAAACTCCAGATTACTTCATCTTGTCCACTTATCTTTGGTCGTTTGATCTAAGAATATATTAATCTGTAAGTAAGGTTGAGACTTTGGTTTATTGAATAACTTCCGGATTGTGTCTGTGTTGGAACCATCGGTTTCAACCCCCAGATCAACTTTACACAAGTGTAGAAAGGGCAAACTTTTCAGTTTATCCCGATAAGTTACTGCGTAGAATCAAAGTATTTTTCACAAAGAAAAATGTTCTGTTTATCAGTAATTTGTCGAAACTCCTTTGTTATCTGTCGAAGAAGTTGAGGAATAAATATTCAGCAAAGGAATAACTGCATATATATTTA